CACCGGCTTTTCGTGGGACAATCTACGGAGTTTCGGGAAGTAAAAGGCCAACCAAATCCCGGGGTCCATCCTTGGTTGGTTCGTGGATTTATACCAGTCTTTCTCGGGGATCAACTGGGATTATCACAGTCCAACTGGCCGTTCTTCACCAACCGTTGTATTTCATGGAAAGACTGGCTGGTTGGTTTTTGAACACTGCACAGGGCAAAAACGTATTGATTGGTTGAATTGTAGCTGCAACATCCATATAGACAAACAATGACCCCGTTCATTCACAGAGAACTCTACTTCTGTTTCTATCTATGTCAATGTCAATATACTTCTGCAAACTTTGTGAACGCTGGCTCACCAAAGCCTTGTATACATATATAGGTGTGCGTGCATCTCTAATCATACATCTCCACGCGTGAAATGCACTTCAAAATCACAGCAGAAAATCGATGCTGGAAAAGAAACCTCAATACTCAAGTGGCATACTATCGGATGGGATCCTGGTGCAGTTCTATGGCATTCTATGGCCTTCCATTGATCCTTGAAAGATTTTGTGTACCCTCCAGTGTCATCAAACTTGGCAGGCTTGGACATCCCCGAACTAATTGGAGGTGTTGATTTAAGACAAAAAATATGTAAGTTATATAGAAAATCCACTGCCATGTTTGATTACCAAAGGGAAATTGGTTAGGAAATAGACGTGCAGCTTATAACTCCAGTCATATCACAGAAATTGCTATAGACATTTCTCCCTGGCTAAATGAGAATGAAAACTAAGCTGAATTAGGTCAATTGTCTGATCGTTACGCCAATCATCATTCCAGTGAGGTCCCAGTGACGTTGTTATATTTTAGCCAGAATACGTATATTAAAAAGCTATTGTAAATGCTCCAATTACCAGCCATCTACTGACGTCAGGGATCACTCTGCAAATGCTCAGATACATTTCTATCATAATATGTATGCACAATTATACATATACACGTAATACACAGATCTTCGTATATTACATATAATATATCCCACTTACTAGAGCCATAGCCAAATTTTCTTCAAACATCACCATTTTTTCTAAGCTATCCCCATGTCCCACATGTTTCAGTATGTTTCACAGTGATATCCCTACTTTTTGAAGCCATGTTTTTTGGTGATATCCCTGCAGGAGATCCCCCAGCAGTTCTTCGCTTCCAAGGGACCACCAGGTTTGTTGTCCTTCAAGATAGGCTTGCTGAACTCCATGAAGCGATTGCGAGCTCCATGGGTGTGGGTGTAGGTCATGCAGCCTGCGATTTATCACCAGGGGTAAAGGCACAGGTCTGCGATTTCATGAGCTGCTTTCTTTACCAAGAAAAATGAAGGTTTTGTGGTAACAAACTTTTTACAAGGATTTTTTAGGTTGATATAATGGGATATATATATATATGTTGGATGAATGATATTGGGATATTGTTTTTTGATTTTTAAGGTTGCTATAATGGGATATACAGTATGTGTTGGAGGAATGTTATTCGGATATGGGATATTGTGTGTTGTTGTTTCGTTAAATCAGCTAGAGGGAACCCAGCAAAAATATCCATGTGTCTGGAATAAATCATGTTTTGGTGTTTTGAATATTTCCCACATTGGTAAGTGGTTGTTACACCTCTAGCCACGGTTGAAATGAGTGAACTGCCTGCGAAATAGGGGAAAATCCATCAACCATCGGGAATGATTTTATAGCACTACCCCATAGATATCTTGTAATTAGGTGGCATAATGTATGAAGATAGTCACCCGGAATCACCATTCCATTTGGCGGATGAAACATGTAGAAAATCTTGAAACCACCAACCAAATGAAACCTCCCGATCATTCCTTTCAGTTCTTACAATTTCTTACAACATCATACCATATCTAGCCCCTAGAAAATCCAATGTTTCCCGAGCCAGTCACACGCCAAGCCCAGGGCGGCCGAGGGACCATGAGCAACTCCAGCCTTGAGACCATTTCCGATCACGCCGTTGCCCCAGCATTCTGACCAGCGCATCTCCTTAGAGCAGACGGACCATCACATGGTCCAACATTTTTTCTTTTGTTTGTCCATGCTTGTCCTATCAGATTCACCCTAAAATGTTTAGATTGTCCTGGTTTCATAGTTGTTTCTTATTTCCGGGAGCGTCTGAGCGCAGGGTTCTTCCAATAGTGGGGGTCTGTATCTCATCTTCTCATCCTCACATCTTCTCATCCTCACATCTTCTCCTCTTCACATCTTCTCTTCTCATCCTCACATCTTCTCATCTTCATCTTCACATCTTCTCATCTTCTCATCTTCTCATCTTCATCTTCACATCTTCTCACCTTCTCATCTTCACATCTTCTCATCCTCAGACCTTCTCATCTTCTCATCTTCACATCTTCTCATCTTCTCATCTTCTCATCTGCTCATCTTCACATCTTCACATATTCACATCTTCACATCTTCACATCTTCTCATCTTCACATCTTCTCATCTTCACATCTTCTCATCTTCACATCTTCACATCTTCACATCTTCACATCTTCTCATCTTCACATCTGCTCATCTTCACATCTTCACATCTTCACATCTGCTCATCTTCACATCTTCTCATCCTCACACCTTCACATCTTCACACCCTCACATCTTCACATCTTCTCCTCTTGCCCTCTTGCCCTCACATCTTCACATCTTCTCCTCTTGCCCTCTTGCCCTCTCCTTCTTTTCTATTTCTCTCTTGAAGGCGGGGGCAGGGGCAGTGCCAACGAGACGGCACGAAACGCAACCCTTTCGCACAAAATGAGGTTCGATCGCCAAAAACTGCGGTAAAATTGCGATTTGCAAGTCGTCCCGCGCAACCCTTTCGCACGAAATGAGGTTCGATCGTCAAAAACTGAAGTAAAATTGCAAATTCCGGGTTCCTGCGCAACCATTTCGCACGAAATGAGGTTCGATCGCCAAAAACTGCGGTAAAATTGCGATTTCAACTTGTCCCGCGCAACCCTTTCTCACCAAATGAGGTTCGATCGCCAAAAACTGAGGTAACATTGCTATTTCCGGGTTCCCGTCGCAACCCTTTCACACGAAATGAAGTTCGATCGCCAAAAACTGAGCGAGTTCAAGTCGTCCCGCGCAACCCTTTCGCACGAAATGAGGTTCAATCGCCAAAAACTGGGGAAAATTGCAATTTCAAGGTGTCCGGCGCAACCCTTTCGCACGAAATGAGGTTCGATCGTCAAAAACTGGGGCAAAATTGTGATTTCCTCTGTGTGTAAACGTGTCTGTGTAAAAGCTTCTGTGTGCTGTGTGTAAAAGCTTCTGTGCGTAAAAGCATCTGTGTGTAAAAGCCTCTGTGGTGTAAAGTGTAAAAGCGTCTGTGTGTAAAAGCGTTTGTGTGTAAAAGTGTCTGTGTGTAAAAGCGTCTGTGTGTAAAAGCGTCTGTGTAAAAGCGTCTGTGTAAAAGCGTCTGTGTAAAAGCATCTGTGTGTAAAAGCTTCTGTGTGTAAAATCTTCTGTGTGTAAAAGCCTCTGTGTGTAAAAGCGTCTGTGTGTAAAAGCCTCTGTGTGTAAAGCCGTCTGTGTGTAAAAGTGTCTGTGATGTAAAAGTGTCTGTGTGTCAAAGCGTTTGTGTGTAAAAGTGTCTGCGTGTAAAAGCGTCTGCGTGTAAAAGCGTCTGTGTGTAAAAGCGTCTGTGTGTAAAAGCGTCTGTGTGTAAAAGCGTCTGTGTGTAATTTTCTGTGTGTAAAAGCGTCTGCGTGTAAAAGCGTGTGTGTGTAAAAGTCTCTGCGTGTAAAAGCGTCTGCGTGTAAAAGCGTCTGTGTGTAAAAGCGTCTGTGTGTAAAAGTGTCTGTGTGTAAAAGCGCCTGTGTGTAAAAGTGTCTGTGTGTAAAAGTGCCTGTGTGTAAAAGCGTCTGTGTGTAAAAGTGTATGTGTGTAAAAGCTTCTGTGTGTAAAAGCGTATGTGTGTAAAAGCGTCTGTGTGTAAAAGCGTCTGTGTGTGAAAGCATCTGTGTGTAAAAGCGTCTGTGTGTAAAAGCTTCTGAGTGTAAAAGTGTTTGTGTGTAAAAGCGTATGTGTGTAAAAGCGTCTGTGTGTAAAAGCGTCTGTGTGTAAAAGCGTGTAAAAGCGTGTAAAAGCGTTTGTGTGTAAAAGTGTTTGTGTGTAATTAAAAGCGTTTGTGTGTAAAAGCTTCTGTGTGTAAAGGCGTCTGTGTGTAAAATCGTCTGTGTGTAAAAGCGTCTGTGTGTAAAAGCGTCTGTGTGTAAAAGCGTCTGTGTAAAAACCGCCTGTGTGCAAAAGCGTCTGTGTGTAAAAGCTTCTGTGTGAAAAAGCGTCTGTGTGTAAAAGCGTCTGTGTGTAAAAGCCTCTGTGTGTAAAAGTGTCTGCGTGTAAAAGCGTCTGCGTGTAAAAGCGTTTCTGTGTAAAAGTGTCTGCGTGTAAAAGCGTCTGCGTGTAAAAGCGTTTCTGTGTAAAAGTGTCTGCCTGTAAAAGCGTCTGCGTGTAAACGCGTCTGTGTAAAAGCTTCTGTGTGTAAAAGCGTCTGTGTGTAAAAACTGTCTGTGTGTAAAAGCGCCTGTGTGTAAAAGTGTCTGTGTGTAAAAGCGTCTGTGTGTAAAAGTGTTTGTGTGTAAAAGCGTTTGTGTGTAAAAGCGTCTGTGTGTAAAAACTGTCTGTGTAAAATCTTCTGTGTAAAAGCGTCTGTGTGTAGAAGCGTCTGTGTGTAAAATCTTCTGTGTGTAAAAGCGTCTGTGTGTAAAAGCGTCTGTGTGTAAAAGCGCCTGTGTGTAAAAGCGTCTGTGTGTAAAAACGTCTGTGTGTAAAACTGTCCGTGTGTAAAAGCGTCTGTGTGTAAAAGCGTGTGTGTGTGTGTAAAAGTGTGTATGTGTGTAAATAAGTCTGTGTGTGTAAATGCAGTCAGAATGACCGAACTGTGGCGGCGGTGTCCAGAGCACGATGGACGACCAGGCTGTCTCCGTGAACAATTTGGTGCAGTTGCTGCAAGCAGTGATCGTTTCGCAGTTTTGCAGGACAATCTCGGGACTGACAAAAAAGTTTTAGTTAGGCTCGCCATGACATTACACACTTGGTCACGTATTATGATGAGGTGCATATCGCCGAGTCGTCATCTTAGATCTTTACAATATTTAGATTAACAGCCTTAGGCCTTAGCTTTAGAATTTGATAATACGTATATAATTATGGCCCGCTCCTATAATTCTTTGAGGGGATAGGATGGTTCCCCCACCCTGGCGGGGGGCCAGGTCGGTTCTTTGCCTGACTCAACACCTTTGTGAGCAGCTTAGCTATTTGATTTTCAACTTGGCTACTTGTATTGCAACCGGAGCTGTCTGAGCAATACTTCTATAGCCTGTACTATATTGAATGCATGTCCACCAAATACATGGTACAAACTTCACCCCTCCGTCGAATTGCTGAGGTGGCCACGACAACGATGACTTCGCTGTGAGTGCGTGAACATGGGCCGGCCTGTGTGTAAAAGCGTCTGTGTGTAAAAGCTTCTGTGTGTAAAAGCGTCTGTGTGTAAAAGCGTATGTGTGTAAAAGCGTCTGTGTGTAAAAGCGTCTGCGTGTGTGAAAGCATCTGTGTGTAAAAGCGTCTGTGTGTAAAAGTCTCTGTGTAAAAGTGTTTGCGTGTAAAACCGTCTGTGTGTAAAAGCGTCTGTATGTAAAAGCTTCTGTGTGCAAAAGCGTCTGCGTGTAAAAGCTTCTGTGTAAAAGCGTCTGTGTGTAAAAAGTGTTTGTGTGTAAAAGCGTTTGTGTCTAAAAGCGTCTGTGTGTAAAAGCTTCTGTGTGTAAAAGCATCTGTGTGTAAAAGCTTCTGTGTGTAAAAGCGTCTGCGTGTAAAATATTCTGTATAAAAGCTCCTGTGTGTAAAAGGGTCTGCGTGTAAAAGTGTCTGTGTGTAAAAGTGTCTGTGTTTAAAAGCGTCTGTGTGTAAAAGCGCCTGTCTGTAAAAGTGTCTGTGTGTAAAAGTGCCTGTGTGTAAAAGCGTCTGTGTCTAAAAGTGTCTGCGTGTAAAAATGTCTGTGCGCAAAAGCTTCCGTATGTAAAAGCGTCTCTCTGTAAAAAGTTCTGTGTGTGAAAAGCTATTTGAAAGATATGATGCAAACTATTGTCTTGTACTTGTGCTATATTGTCTTGATACTCCTCTTCTCGTCTGCCTATAACACATCTTTAATATATTGTTTTGTAATATGGTTTCTCCATACTAACAAGAGAAGACCCTGCTCCTCTACGCTCTCGGGCCATCCGTCGTCTAGTTTTTGTGGATGATTATGATTTGTTCATGATTTATTCATATGTTGGTGTTTTGGTTTGTGATGCTTTGTGTATTTTTATTGGTGTAATTATGCCTGTTTTCTCATGTTCTATCGTTTTTCGCTGCCGTTTTGATTCCCCTGAGGGCCGCCAAGGCTCCACCACGGTCATGCTGATGTTGCAGACGGTCTCCAGTCCCATGGCGATGTCTTTGCCGATGCCTTCGACCTGGACCATGGATGTTTGAATGAGAAAACATATCTTGTGCTTGTGTTCTGCCTCCATCGATTTCGCTTTGATTTGTCAAGCTGAATTCAATTGCTCAATGACCATCCCCTCCAAAAAAGTGGTCCTTCGTACCGCCGTAGCCCATGCTTTGACCAAGGCACATATATGATCCAAGGTCCAAGGTTCACCCAGGAAAAAAAGTCGATCATTAAGATAGGCCCATTGACAGATGGCTGACAGATGGCCTTGTTATCTTTTTAGGGTCTGAGCCAGCGTCACCTTTGTGTGTTTTGCGGCTACATGAATTTGAGGCCATGCCCATGCCTTGTCTAATATATCGCTAAAACCAACGCCCCGAGGCTTGGTTCTCATCTTGGATCATGGCTTGAGATAGAAGGGGATGGGTAACATCCTCGCATCTATGTGTCCCAAAAATGGGGATGAGTCAAAACCGATTAGTACCATAGGGGGAGTCACATCCATTCACCAGCTATGACTGGATGGGTACCACCAGCTGTGATCAAGCCCATGGCCTCGAAGTCAGACTCAGGAGGGGTTCCCATGTAGGCATAGGGGGGCCAGTCGATGTCCTGATTTTTTCACTGGCATTACAGGCAGAGATGCTGTGGATGGTTGCGAAATCCTGCACCATGAAAAGGAAGGTTGAAACATGTTGAAACCTTATAAATAATGGGATGTTTACCATCTATCAACTGGTGCAGGATTTCTTCCATCCACAGAATCAAATATCACTACTATGGGTCTGTCTGAAAACGCGCTGTACCCATATGATCTCATGTTCATTGCCTTTTGAGAGTGAACATGATCATTACGCAGTGGATGTAGATGTATACCTATTTTCGGACAAAGCCATATCTGTGGCAGGAAAGGGTGTCTAACCGACATTATCCAACAATCATCATCCAAAGGTAACTAGTGGCAACTAGCAAAGATAGCAAATTCAAGCGACAAAATGCCGATCAGAACAAGAGCGCAACATGCTGAACGGAATGCACATCCAAGACACGCAGATGCAGCCGACCCACACCGGGATGTAGCATCATGTTGAAAACTTGGATGCGCACTTCAGTTGGTAAGTTGTTTTTAACCTATAATGTATATATATATACTTAACAGGAAATTCGGAATATTTTATATATATAATATATATAAAACTAATACTGGGGCATAATATGCACATGGTTACTATATATTACTATCCCCTTACGAAGTGGGATGCGCCCCTAAGTGGGGATCATCTTCACCCTGATGTCTGTTGGTCACGACCCCAAGATCTGATGGCAAAACACGGTGTCCTACACAATTGGTTAAACCACTGAGCGACAGGGTGAGATCGCGAGATCGCAATCTCCGGGCAAACTCAACGATAAACACCCTACACACCTTGACATTGCTGACTTTTCCCAAGGGAAAGTCTGCTATTGTCCCCTCCAATCTCCTGGCCCAAGATGATCTTGGGGTACATCTTGCCTCCCATGACCTCAGGATTACCATCCCATGTTAGGTCGACCAATTTCTTGCACACCAATTTGTCCACTAAATTCTTGAGGGTTTCTCTAAAAATCTTGGGAAAAGCCTAAATTCACTAGTTGATCAGCATTGTCCCCACTTGGGGGTATACAGGCTAATCGACTAACATGTTGAATTATGTTCAACCCCACCAAAAAAAATGAGGCCAATCGGCAGATGGCTTTCCCGACTTGGATCCTGCCGTAAGGAATCGTAAGGGAGTGTTGGAGGTGAGGGAGTGCAGGAAACTGTTTGGAAGATGTTGTTTTGGAAGATGTTGGAATGTTTAATCCTTAACCCTAAGGATCCCGATCATACCCTGGTACGTCTACAGGCTCGGTACGTCGAATGGATTCATATGAATTCGGATGCGGGGTGACGATTATTGCATGGCATGCCGGGGCGAAGAATAATAGCTTCGGAACTCAATGTGCAGGGGCCAGGGTGGGTCATAAATTAATTCTACAAATAGGATTGCCACGCGCTCCCGTTTTTCGCTTTGGACAGAGCCATCCCGAGGCTGTTTTCAATCTCTTTTTTAGAAGCAGGCAAGACCAAAAACGGGCGCGCCAAATCCACACGTTAGAGCGTGTGGCAACCCTGTTTTTGGGGTTGACGCTATATAACCGATGCTAATCGACGCTAACCGACGCTAACTGACGCTAACCGACGCCAACCAACGCTAACCGACGCTAACCGACGCTAACCGACGCTAACCGACGCTAACCGACGCTAACCGACGCTAGCCGACGCTAACCGACGTCAACCGAGACGCTATAACCGACGCCAACCGATGCTAACCGACGCCAACCGACGCTAACCGACGCCAACCGACGCTAACCGACGCTGATGCTAACCGACGCTAACCGACGGCGACTGACGCTAACAAATGCCAGCAATATACCTATTTGTCAACAACTGAGGCTAACCGACGCTTGGGTCGCCAAAACATGCAGACAGACCACGAATGGCTAACCGACGCTAACCGACGGAATGTTTTGAATGATACGGGAATTGCTGGTTCTGACACTGTTGGAAGTTACACAAAAATCTTTAATTGATTCCCACGGGACAACTTTCTGTGGCCAATAGCGTGCGACATTGTTGGCACGGGTCCCCAGGCGTGTGAACGGCGTGTGTGTGACGCACAGTGATCTGTAATTAAAGATGCATGGTCAGTGGAAGTCTACGAGGTGATGCCAAGAGAGTGGGCAACTATGTGCAGGGCTAATCTTGGAGAGCCACCAAAAAAAAGCTGTGGCCCGTCAAAGCCGACCGCGGACAGTCAGCCGGACCAGCTAAGCGTCAAAACGGCTAATGGTCAGGTGGTGCTGGCCAAAAGAAAGGCAAAACAAGAGCAAGAATGGTCGCCCAAAACCTCCCTGGCAGCTCGCAATTCTGTGAAGGCCCGTGGCGTTTGGGGACACGCGTCGGGTCAAGTTGTTGAGCCGAAGAATTCCTATACTCTTATTTCGGTTCGGCCAAAAGCTGCCCAGTGAGCATCTTATACTCGGTCTTTACATCTTCTCAGGAGGTATTTGGAGCTATGCGAGATGTACCTACCATCGCATTGTTGTTTACATTGCCTATACACATGTGCAACGCGTTCCTTCAACCATCCATGTTGTTTTGTTCCGTGTTCCACAAAGCATCTCATTGCATCTCATGCTGAACCATGGTTTGCGCATTATAGACTCACCATCGGTCATGTTCGACCCTTGCCGACCCGTCGGATCGATAGAGCCCACAGCCCCAGAGGGGTCACGGACCTTTCTGAGCAAGGGTCAAGCTCATGGTATGTGATGGGCAAGGGTCAGGCGGCTCTAGTGACCTACCCTGGATCCTTAGGATTCTTGCTGATCCAATTTCGAGTAATGTCAAAACACAATTTGGTGAAGATAGGGGTTTCCTAAGTGAAAACGCCTAGGTTCGTGTTGTTGGTAAACTCCACAAAACATCCGTGGTTTCTACCATTCATTCCTTAAGTGTAACCTTCCCATAAGTTGATCCAGATCAGCTATGGTATTACAAATATAGCCCATGAAGTTCGATGGTTTACCAATGGAACATGGTGATTTTCCAATGGTGAAATTGCCAGAGGGTTTCCATATGCTCCATGGTTCGCTTCGACGGCTCCAGCTCGAAAAGCTGTTTGGTTTAACCTATAGGCCATATTAACATCTCTACCATAACTTCATTTATAGATGATTTCTCCAAATATCACATCCAAGTTGCTTATAAATGTTTATTATATATATATATCATATATCATGTCAAAGGATCAAACATCCCACGATATTCCATGTCTATCCCCACTATATATCCCCAATTGGAGCTTTCTTAAGTCATGGGGGATCCCCAAGTCACAGGTTTCAATACTAAGTCTTGTTCTAATAGCTTGGATGATTTGGGGTACCCAAATGACTTAGGCAACCTCCATATATGTTCAGCCTCTATCATAAGCATAAACATTGCATATTCAGGATGATTCACTTTAGGAAACCTCCATATATGTTCCATTGATCAGCGTTATTAATCACTATAACCCCCCATTAACATGTTCCCATATATATGATTGGTTTTGCAGCACAACGATTCATCTTCCATATATATATATATATTTCCCCAATAATCATGAAAATAATGGTAATAATGATAGTAATAATCATGAAAATAATAGTAATAATAATAGCAATAATAATAATCATCATCATAATAATAATAATATATACGTATATATATATAAATAATATCCCATAGATATCTTTTTCCATATGTTCCACGATACAAAACTCCCCGAATGGTCGATGAGGTTTTCTCCGAAGCACTCCAGGAATCAGCGGTTCCTTTGGTCCACAGATTTCTGCTGCCTGACCTGGCGCCGCTGTACCCGGCTGTCTCTTCATGAGATACAATAACATATTAATCATTGAAAACTAGTTGTGATAACAATAGTAATAATATATAGTAATAATATGTATATAATAATATGTAATAATATCTAACAATATCTAATAATATCTAATAATATCTAATAATATGTATATAACAACATCAATACACATACAGAAACATCATGTCATTATGTAATTCTAGGTTGTTCTGACGGTATTACTTCATGATATGTTAATTTCTTCTGACTGCATCCACTTCATGTCCTCCCATCGACGACCTAAGACGACCTAAGACGCCGCACCCTGAGAGATCAAAGACGCAAAACCGAGAGCAAGACCTTGGTTCAGCAGGAAAAATGGGGCTATGAATTGGGGGGAACGTCATGGAATATCTCATGAGTGCTTTTTCTTAACATGTTAAAACATACTAAAAAGCAAGCTTTTGGATGCTCTGGCCAGATGATTCGTGTAAACAACGAACCATTTTTGAAGGGTATCCCAGATTATTCGTGTGTATACCAACTATACACCCAGCGTGTGTTTGTGAACAGAGATCATGCACTTACTTCGCCAATGCAAAAAAAATGCGGCTATCCCGAACTGATCGCGGTTCTCTGTCATCGCACAATTGGAGTCTATTTGAATGGGAATAGAATATCCAAGTTCGTCCCAGTTTCAACCCAATCCCAATTGAGCTGTCAAAAACCCATGGGTTGAAGTTTATTCTTTAAGAAAAGGGTTTACCATGGTTTACTACAGTAACCTCTTGAAAAATCTTGAAAAGGGGATCAGCCAACAATCCAGCCAATAGCAAACACTTCACAAACATTTCGCAGAACCAGGTCCGAACCAGTGTCAAAATCATCTAAAAGATCCTACGACCTCCATTGCCCATGCAGAAGCATCGACTGGATGACTTGAGTGACTTGAAGTTGTCCCAACTTATGCACATACCCAGGAAATCTCTTAGAAAGGCCCAAAAAAAACATACAAGATCCGAAGGGTTTGGGTGTATGGCTTGGCTGAAATCATCTCAAACTCAACCTCAAATCCATGGGATTCCATCGAGCCACGCACGGCCATGATCGTCAAAAAGTCGAGTTGACTCGGGCTGTCAAACACTCCACGTTTGTTGGACGCTGCACTTGAGCCGAATTCCATCAACGGTTCTTTCAGTGTGGAATGCGAAACCAACAAAACCCTGAGTCGTTCGTGAAAATTACTACCGCGCCATGTTCAGACCATCAACCTCTTATTGAACCTTCGCGCGCGTGGTATTGTTAAATCATCAAGTAAGGTCTGCAGATTATATATTGACATTCATCCTGGTTAATTATCGTGAACTATTACTGGATTATCAGCTCTTTTTAAAAGCAACTAGCTCATGATGGAGATAATTATTTAAAAAAAACAAGTTCCAGCTCCACATTCTGATCATATCCGATACCCTCTGGTTATTTAACACAGCTATGGAAAATGGCTGATTTATATAGATAATTTAAGTGATGATATACCTATCTCAAACAGTTGGCGATTTTCATTTTTCCAGAAAGCTACGTTGAATAAGCTTAAAAGGTAATGCAAATATCAAGTTTCATCAAGTTTCCATCCCTTGAATCACAAAACCTGGCCCAGTCACATCGATGCGATGCGTCTGCTTCGCTCATCCTGCCCGGGCCATGGCGAGCCCGATAAAGGGCCCCAATCTTCAAAAACTCATGTGCCCACTGGTTGACAAAGATCGAGATTTTTGCATAGAAAAAGAAGGTTGGGATACAAAAAAGAAACATCTTTCAGATTCTTTCAGCATTTTCTCTGATGATATTTCTCTAATTGCCTCTCTTGGAATCACGCCGTAGCCGGTTCAGCTCTTCAGGACATGTCTCTGTCCTGTTAGTTATAAAAGGCATGTCCTCTACATGCGTATGATGCAGTCTTATTTAATAGAAAAATAGGATTATATAAGACCAAACATTTCCAACATCTGGGGTGACCAGAGCCAAGTTTTGACCACTGATAGTCTATATGAATAATCCGGAATGATCATGGCTACCCTCGGACACGAATTCACTGAAACAGTGGTCCTACAGGTCCTACAGAGGAAGCCCTTTGTGAGGGCTCCGGTTTTCGCTGCAAAATGTTTAAATGATAGTGAAAGCACAACGCCAGCATGGTACCACATGCATTGTATTCACGCGCCGTTCTTTAAGCCCAATGCAAATAAGATCCAACCGAAAGCTACCAGCCATCTTGAAACTTCCAAGCCATATTCTAGCAAACACCTTCACAGCACTCTGATCCTCACATCAATGAAATGCGCCGGAAGCCGGCATGTCCAGATGAAATTTAGCACCTGTATGGCTCAAAAAAGCTTGCGCCAGCGGACCCCAAAATGGAGGTCGCCCCCCGAAAAGTACATTTCAGCAGGATGCAAAATTCCTCCATTTGTGGTATTCAAACTCCAAACATTACCAAACCAAGCTTTAATGACAGTGTATTCACCAAATCAAGTTTTGGTTTCATCATGTTGAATCATGCTTTATCAACAATAGTTAGTTGCTATACTGGCTATATACTCTATATGCTTGTTTCCGCTCGCACACTCGAAGTTTCTCTACTCTATACCACAGCAACTTCAACCCATCATCGCTCAAAAAGAGACACGCACCTCGGCCTCTCGCAGATGCAGCCTTGGCGAAAATCATGGTTGCAGGGGAATCTGGGCAATGGATGGCAATGGCTGGTTGGCTTTGGAAAAGCATATGATAAAACGACGCGTAGCTTCAGTGATTTTGAGCACAAACAGGTTGATGCTGTTGATGTTAGATTGACAAATCATCAAAACACAACAGGAATATGAGAATCCAATAGGGTTTCAAAGCCGGATAATCCCCACGGAACATATGGGATCTGGGATCAATCATCTATGAAAACAGTGGAGGCTTCTGTCAATGTTCCATTTTCAGCTTGGCACTGGTGATACTTTTCTACCTTCAGGACCTCCCCAAGCCTGAAGGCACTTGCCTCAACAACAGCTTCCCCCGAGAAAAAGGCTGCCGTGGCACCACTCCGTCTCCACCACTGCTGGCTTCCAAATCCGCAGCCTTTTGCAATAAAATGGTTCTGTCTGTGGGAAATTGTTCTTATGTCTGGGTCAGAGGGATATACATTTTCGAGATAAAACATCAACCATCTATATCTAATTGTTGGGTGCGATAGACACGGATAGATTAACTCGTTTTTGGATGTGAACACCTTGTTTGGAGAGGTTACTTTAAATCCACCAGTTCAGTGTAAATCCCGCAACACTTGCAGTAACAGAAAGAAGATCGTTGAACGAAAAAAACACATAGCAACGTTATCTGAAAATGCATAGCAAGGTATCTACAACAGATAATATGATTTTGTACCATCTGGTTATTTAACATAGCCATGGAAAGTGGCCCATTTATAGATGGTTTACCTGGGTTTACCTAATAAAAATGGTGATTTTCCATGGCTATGTTAAATAAGCAGAGGGTAGTTGGATTTACCTACTAACTTTTGGTGATCTCTTGAGGGATCTAAATGGCCAATCCGCCAATCCACGAGCGATTTGATTCATGCCCTCATTCGGGGCAGAGTCATCCCCCACGCGTCCCAGGATGTGTATCGATCTGTAAGCACCACTCTTGACTTTTCTGACCATGCAAAGGGGTAATTGAATGTAATGGATAAGTAGGGGTAGTTACTCGTAATTACAGTATATCAAGTGGAATGAGCCATAAAAACTATCACTATCCCATCTGATTATACTAGTTGGTTGATAGGTTTCCATGACATAGGGGACATAGGGGTTACAAGAATTCCCACTAACCAGATAGTATAACTCCTGACAATGACCAATCAACAAGGGTATGTTTAATGGCTTGGGGAATCCTGGTGCACACATGGTAGTGGGAAGGTCGTTTCACCTTACAAATAACCCACTTCCCCAGATGGATGCAGGTTGAACGCTTGAAACTTCATCTATCTGTGTTTGTCAAAAAAATATGATACCCAAAAATCCAGTAGTTTGGGAAATTGTAGAATATCAGCTTCCACAGTCTTTGGTGGCAATGTATAGCAATGTTAGGGTGTCATCCATCACTTGAGACAAGATCACTTTGGGGAGCATGGCATAAAAAGGTTCTCATATTGAACTACAATATACTAATATACTGTAATCATCCAATCATCTACGCATTTAGCATGAACTGCAAATAAGATCAAATAAGTATCAACCACCAGGCTTTCTCTAAAAACCGGCTGGCCACACAATGGTTTTGACATGACAAATTTCCGCCGAATCTCCTGGTTTATCATGATGTTCGATAACAAAATCAGCATGACTTTTCTAGGTATTTTGTTAACATTACCCTCTGCTTATGACATTCATAGTTTGCCATGGAAAGATCCACCATGCTATTAAGAACGGTAAACCATGGTGTATACCATCTATTTCGATGAATGGGCCATCTATACCATGGCTATGTTAGTCATAACCAGATGGTAACATTAACTAACCATCTCCCCAAAAGTCCCCATGTTTTCACCGTTTTGGATGCGGTGCCACCTCAAAAGGTCGTGCAAGCGCGTGGTGGACGGCGCGTGGCGATTCTTCCACACCATCTCCTGGCCGGTCATGGTCTGGGACAGGGAATGGATGGGTTGCTGGGGGTTGCTGGGATGATGACATTACTAGTGATGACTGGGATCATTCCCGAAAATTCCCTGCGTAAAACGCACCAGTAAGAATTAATGAAGGTGAAAACTATCAATGAGATGATATGAATGTCCTTTGTGGTACAAACACATGTACAGAGACATATGTGTAAACGCATATGTCTGTCCAAAAAGGACATATATATATAATATTATATACATATACCTATATATATATCAACTTGCTTCACTTCCATATGTCTCTATATCCATGATGTTCCCCGGAAAGAAACCTCACTCCAAATCAAAAAATGTGGCGTCAACACCAAAAAACAAAGCCAAAGGATCGAGCCGAAGGCCTGAGAGGTGATGAACGATGAGGCTATGCTTGGCATGCTTCCGCTGGGTCGGAGAAGCGTCAAGTTTGTCACATGTTGGCACAGTCGACCAATGGTTACACTACCTTGTTGGATGCTGGAAAAACATGTGTTTATTGGTTATCCTCCCAACTTCTGATGTGTTTATTTGTTATCCTCCCAACTTATGATGGTCACATTACGATGTTGAACGTCTAAATCAGTGAAATTCCAATATTTCGCCGTGTCACATCAGTATCTAAGAATGTAAAATCAAACAAATCCATATGTTGATGGTTTGCATTCCATACATAATCATCATTTGTCTCCAAAATGTCTCTAACAAAAATCATCTCCCAGTAGCATCAGCGCGACGTCGCCACCATAGCGGCCGGCCTTGTAGGGTTCCAGTGCCATGCGTTGCCAATCGCACAAGGCACGGCCCGTGCCCATGGCATAGAGCAGTTCCGGGAGCGACTGCGGCACCAAGGAGGGGTCCTCCTATGGAAATATCAGATATGTAATGGGAATATCATGGGATATGAATGGATATGATATATAGTTATCGAATGATTATGATATATGGACCATATATGCATATGTATATATATATATACGTAGGGCTTTCTTAAGTCATGGGGAATCCCCAGTCGTCACCATGGGTTAACCTTGTTCCTAAGTCATGGTCATCCATGACAAGTGGCTGATGACTGGGGGTAACCACATGACAAAACGGACACCTCCGATGGGTTGAACACAGGTCTGAATCCACTGAAATATGGCAGGCTATTCAAGGTGTGTATCCGACGTGCTGGAAAATCAAACATGGCTGGAAAATATGTCCAGAGGCTTTCTAGCTGGAAAAAAACCATCTATAAACGGGAAATTATCCATTGCTTTTGTTTGATTACTGACGGGTAATGCACATGAATTCATCCTGAAAATAGTGGATTGTATGATATCATATTGCAAAATGTTGAGTTGATAGGGTTTGTTTCCTTGACAATGGCCAATCTTAGATAGCCTGCAAAATAGTCGAGCTGGTTGAGCTAATGTATCCCCATGATCATGGCAAACATATTATGTACTAAAGTAT